TGTGGTTCCAGGGCCAGCTGGGTGGTGTGTTCTGCCCCAGAACCTGCTCAATGCATTCCAGGAGTTCCTCAGGGAAAGGTCCTTCTTAAATGTCCTCTTTTTGCTTTATTTTCATGTGTGCCTGATGTCCAGCTGCTGCGGTTGTTGTAGAGCTGGTCATAGGGACCATAATGAAGATGTGGAACCAAACAGGTGAGTGAGCTGATCCCATTCCTGGTGCCTGTGCACATCCCTGGGAACCTCTGGGATGTGAGGTGTTATCCCTGAGAGAAGCAAAGCCAGTCAAGGTCTCTCCCCCGAGCACGTTACCTGCAGAGCCCCTTCAGCACACAGCAGGAGGCCTTTGGGGTGAGGTGAGTTTGGTCAGAGGGACGTCCCTCTTTGACCAGAGACATGTCCTGCTCTAGCAGAGGGTATCCCTCACAATTGATAAGGATTGAAAGACATAACACAGCACTTCTAGGATTTCCTTTCCTTCCCTTGACCACTAAAGGAGGAATCTCCTCCTGGGCTTTCCTCCAGGGCCAAAAGGGAGAAGCCTTTCCGTGCAGGTGAGGGCCAGGACTTGCCCACACTACCTGGAAACTAAACCCTGCCAAACAAAAAGAAGAGACAAAGGCCTGTTGTGCACGAGGGCCCAGCACAGTGAGGTCAAATAGTCCCATCTGTCCATAAATTTCCACTTCCAAGGCCCTCCAGAAGTGCTTTGTTGTATTTCCCACCCCCATGCAGGTGTCCAGGCCCCCAGGGTGCAGAGCTGCCCCGGCAGTGGCTTTGCCCAGCACAGCCTGGGCTCTGCTGGCTCCCATCCTCCCCAGGTTCTAAGGCAGCTGTTTGTCTGTCCCTGCTCTTTGCAGCTGCCATGGGGGCAGGGCAATGTTCTTCCCTCAAGGAACACTTGGAAATCAGCAGGGCCTGGGCTCTCCCCCGTGGCCAGGCCGTTGGGGAGTGAGGGGGCAGGGGGCTTCCTGTCAATGCTCCTCCCCAGCAGCACAGGAGCTCCAAGCCCATGTTTCTGAGGGCCACAGTGGTGCTGAGACTCCTTTCCAGAGACAAAAGCTGGAAGAGAAAACAGGCTCCATGTGCCACATGGGTGGTCTCTCCCCTTCAAGGGGGCAGTGTCAGTCTCCCACTGACACCTGTCTTTTTTCACAGGAAAGACAGAGGAGGGAAATCCCCCAAAGGCTCAGGGATCCGGGATGGAGGAGACCCTTCAGCAGCTCTGCAAAGAAATGAAAGCTATGCGTGAAGATCTCCAGAAAGTGCAGCAATCCAAATGCTCAGAGGAGCCCTGAACAAGGAACTAGGTGAGCAGGGCCATTCCCAAGCACTTCCATCTCTCTGAACACCAAAGCTGCTCTACAAGCAGACCACCCTGTGAGCTTGTCCTGCACAGCTCCTCAAAGGGGATGGAGAAGGACGGCCCTGACATGGGGAGAGGCCCAGAGAAGCTGCCTTCAGTCCTGGGAATCACCACCACAATCCATCCCGTGACTAAAGGCCGCTTGTCTGGGCCTCTGCACACGGGGAACAAACAGCTTTTGTGATCTGTGACACTGAAACAGCTCCATGCTGAAGTGTTCCCTGCAGGGGGTCAAGGCCCCTCTTCTCTCCCTTGTTTTTGAGGGCAGTGAGGACAGCTCTGACCCGATGTGTGCTAAAGGTGTCCACCTCCCAGTCCTCCCACGCACTCACCTTCCTCATGACAGAGGGTTGTGGTTGTCTCCCATGGCCCACGGATGCTGTCTGCAGACGTGGAGGGGGATGATCCCTACCCCCCATCCTGCCCCCCAGGCCTTTGCCAAGGCCTCAGGAAGGCTCACAGGGCCTGGGCTCTTTCCCCAGCCCTGCTGCAGTCAACCCATCCAACCAATTCAAGGCACCTGGTCAGGAATAAGTGCAGGCACCAGTCCAGGCTCAGGGCTGACCCTCTGGCAAGTAGCTGTGCAGAGAAGGCCCTGGGGGTTCTGGTGGACAGAGAGTTGGCCAAGGGTCAGCAATGGCCAAGAAGGCCCAAGGCTGCCTGGGCTGCCTTAGGAAGAGCTTTGCCAGCAGGCCAAGGGAGGGGTGGCCCTGGTGAGGCACATCTGGAGTGCTGTGTCCAGTGCTGGGTTCCTCAGTACAAGGGAAACATGGAGCTCCTGCAGCGGGTCCAGCTGAGGCTGCAGAGATGAACAGGGGCTGGAGAGGCTGAGGGAGCTGGGCCTGTTTAGTCTGGAGAAGAGAAGTCTGAGAGAGGACGTCATCAGTGGACACAAGTGTTTGAAGGGTCAGGAGGATGGAGCCAGGCTCTTCTGGGTGGTGCTGAGTAATAGGATTGGAGGCAATGGGCAGAAAGGGAAACAAAGCAATTTCCACCTGAACCCAAGGAAGAACTTCATTACTGTGAGGGTGACAGCACTGGGACCAGTTCCTAGAGAGATTGGAATGGTTTCTAGGAGACCTTGCTTGAGCAGGGAGGTTGGACTAGAAGACCTCCAGTGGTCCCTTCCAACCTTACCCAGGTGGTGATTCACTGAGGGTTTCATTACATTTCCTAATTATTTCTGTGGACTTCTTTGGATATGGTCCAAGATCTTCTACAGAGTCTTCTCTCCTGGAGAGGATCTCAAAGACGTGGTCAGGTCATAATTTACTTCTCTTATCGTTCTTTGTTCTGACACACAACCCTCGTTCTCAAAACTAAGACATCTCCTAGTCCATATCAATCACTGACACAGGGAAATAAGGGAGCAGGAGGTGGCACAAGACTATCAGTCACAGATGTGGGATCAAACACTATTGTACTAAAGTTCAAAGAATTTTCCAACCTCTTCCCCCACTGCTGCAGACACTCCTTTTTAAAAGAAAATAGAACTTGTTTGGTAACACTCCCGACCTCCCAGGCACCCCCAGCCCCCTCCCCAGAGTGGCAGCACCAGGAGCAGAAAAGGCCTTGTCTCTGTGTAAGCCCCACCCGGCAATAACGAAAACACCTCTGTTATCATCCCTGTGTTCAGCACAAATCCCAAACAGCCCCACACCAGCCCCTGGGAACAAAAGTAAGTGTGCCCCAGCCCAAACCAGCACACAGGACCCAAACTCCCCTGGAACTTCCTCCTCGGAGTGGTAGAGGAGACAGGGAGGAGTGGGGCCAACCACAAGGGCCTTGCTGCTCTGCCCACCCCGGGCTCTGTGCGAGGGGCACCGTAAGCAGCTGACCTCCCCCCGGCTGAGCATATTGAGCCTGGCTTTTCTATGGGCAACATTTTGCTGCCTGGAGTCCCCTGGTGTCCATCGGGACCTCCTGGAGGGAGGCAGGAGATGGTGATTGAGGAGGAGTGGAGTCTCTGTTGGGTCCCCCTGTTGAGTGTTCAGGGCCCAGAAGTGGACACGTGGATTTGCTGCGGGTCTTGCACAGCCTGGAGCTGCAGGTGCCCGTGTGTGTCCCCGATGGGACAGGAGAGTCCAGGGCTGCAGGAGAGGGTCAGATTTGGTGCAGCTTGTGCACATCCTTGGGCATGACATGGACACAGTTCAGAGCCTGCTGCAAGTGAGTTATTGCAGAACAGATGAACAGAGAGCAAAGGTGGGGTGTGAATCGGGGTACAGACAGTGTTCAAAACAACTGCCATCAAAACCTGACAGCACTGAGGGAGCTTTCATCAGAAATGGCCTTGACTTCTCTACCCCCAGCTCCTGCAGAGATGTTTCTGATACAATGGCTTTGGAGCCCAGCCCCATGTGTTGCTGTATTGCACCTCCTTTATCTCAGCTTGTTCTAATATTTGATCACCCTCATGGCAAAAAGCTACCAAAAACCTTTTTTCACACATTTATTGGGAATTTCTCATGTTGCAGCTTGTGCCTGTTACTTCTTACCTGATGAAGGCACATCTCCAAGAAGATGGAGAGAGAAGTGTAGCAAGGACACTGAGCCCCAAACCAGTCCCCGAGTCTTACAGACATTGTTACCTGGGGAGATGGTGGAGTCTCCATCCTTGGGGATATTCAAAAGCCCCTGGAGGAGGTTCTGGCCACCCAGCTCCAGGTGTCCCATCTGGGTTGGACCAAATGATCTCTGGAGGTCCCTTGCAACCTCTCCTTGTCTGTGTTTCTGTGATTCTGGACAGGGCACGAGACATCTGAAACCACAAGTTTCAGAATCTACAAAGTCAGATGTAGCTGGATCTCTACCCAATTCCTGTGTGTGTTTAATTTTCACTTCCTTTGGCTCTTTAATCTTTTGCAGGTGTGCCGATAGAAAATGCATCAGAAGACGAGGGCACTGATACAGATGCATAGACAACTCCTGAGCTGGTGAAACATTTATCAACAAAATTAAAGTCTGGCACTCATTACATTTCTCTTGAGCTTGGCCCCCACCCCCTGCCCTCCCTGGGCTCGCTGTGTTGGGAAGTGCTCGTGCTGCTGGAAGACTGAGACAATTTTAAGGCTTTTCTCCCTCCTGTGAGCTGGTTCCTGCTGTGCCAGGGCAGATCCATCCACTGCCCGGTTTCAACAAGTGAAGGCAACAGCAGCCAAAGTGCAACTGAATTACCCAGCGAGCTCTACACAAAATCTCTGGGCAGAGTCCTGGGAATCCTGGATTTTAAGTGTTTTAACATTTTGTGTGTGCAAAGAGTCTGGGATGTACAACAATAGGGGAACCATGTCCCCTGGAGAATGAAGTGTTCAGT